CTGGTCAACCAGCATTTTCTTCAGGGCAGCACTTTTGGTCCCCCCAGTGACAATTCTGTCCAGTACCTTGTACCATCCACCAACAACTGGTCCCTGGAGTAGAAACAAAGTTGACAGTTCATATGCATACATAGGTCAAAAGGCTTGTCAACATGTTAAAGTTTTCCCAAAACACTACTTACTTGCAGAAATGATTGACTGCATAATGCCAGATTATTAACAGGACTCCAAAAAATGATAGGAGAAAAACCTCAAGTGGGTATCAGACAGTGACCCATGAAGCCTCCTGGACACACCTGTACTGTACATACAGTTTTTTGCATTTAAAAGTCCAATCATACTAGTAAATCCATGTGTTTTAACGTGTAATATACACCGATCAGTCATAACATTCTGACCACCTCCTTGTTTCTATGCTCATTGTCCATTTTATCAGCTCCACTTACTATATAGGAGCACTTTGTAGTTCTACAGTTACAGACTGTAGTCCATCTGTTTCTCTGATACTTTGTTAGCCCCCTTTTACCCTGTTCTTCAGTGGTCAGGACCCCCATGGACCCTCACAGAGCAGGTACTATTTGGGTGGTGGGTCATTCTCAGCACTGCAGTAACACTGACGTGGTGGTGGTGTGTTAGTGTGTGTTGTGCTGGTCTGAGTGGATCAGACACAGCAGTGCTGCTGGAGTTTTAAAACACCTCAGTGTCACTGCTGGACTGAGAATAGTCCACCATCCAAAAACATCCAGCCAACAGCGTCCTGTGGGCAGCGTCCTGTGACCACTGATGAAGGACTAGAGGATGACCAACACAAACTGTGCAGCAGCAGATGAGCTATCATCTCTGACTTTACATCTACAAGGTGGACCGACAAGGTAGGAGTGTCTAATAGAGTGGACAGTGAGTGGACACAGTGTTTAAAAACTCCAGCAGCACTGCTGTGTCTGATCCACTCAGACCAGCACAACACACACTAACACACCACCACCACCACGTCAGTGTTACTGCAGTGCTGAGAATGACCCACCACCCAAATAGTACCTGCTCTGTGAGGGTCCATGGGGGTCCTGACCACTGAAGAACAGGGTAAAAGGGGGCTAACAAAGTATCAGAGAAACAGATGGACTACAGTCTGTAACTGTAGAACTACAAAGTGCACCTATATAGTAAGTGGAGCTGATAAAATGGACAATGAGTGTAGAAACAAGGAGGTGGTCACAATGTTGTGCCTGATTGGTGTATATTTTCATGTAGCTCTGTGATTGGGTGATTGGGTGAACCCTGGAGGCAGTAAAAATGGTAATAAAACAGCAAGAGGGACTTACGACGAAAAAGAAGCCAATGCTCATCATCTTTGCGGTGCGTCTCATGCTGTGGTTGGCCAAGCCACGCCGTTCAATCAGCTGCTGGGAAATAACATCACCTACCCCTACCAGAGAGCCTGAAGGAAAGGGGGAAGAGAAAAGAGGAAAACACAGTAAGAACGAAAGTGTGTGTGTGTGTGTGAGAGAGAGAGAGAGAGAGAGAGAGAGAGAGATTGAGGGACACAGTGTACACGAGTGAAAGAGAAGAGGGCATCTGTTTGGCCCCACTTCCCAGCATGAGTGCCAGTGCTCAGGTAAACATGCCAACACTCGCACCAAGGAGAGCAGAGAGGAAAGACTCATTCAAAAGAACACAGTCCCAGTTCACCTCCACACTCAGATACCGGCTAAATGAGAGGAAGAAAAAGGCCACATGAGGACTCGATAGTGACAGCTGGTTATAATACTCTGAGTGCTTAATAACACCTATGAAACACAACCTATCAACAGCTCAATTACAGTAGCATTGAATGCCAGGTCCTTCTCAGTCAATGAAACTACAGGTTGAGGTGATCTAAAACTCCTCAGTATCATCTCTTAGGTGTAATGTCTCATAAATTTAATTCCTGTGATAAAGTGTTTTCTTTGTGATGCATGTCTTTGCATGTCTTTTTGTTCTGTCCAAAATACTTCCTGCTACCACTGCATGAAAAAATCATTTTCTACAAAATACAACTAAAACAAAAAATAAAGAAATACCACTTGAACATAACTGCCTGCTGTTAAAAAGTTTACACATCATATTTTCTGTAACAGGACTACATTCTGACCTCAGTAGAGAAGAGTGATGAGGTTGGCAGACAGCTAATAGGCTAACAGGCTATTCAATAATATTTAAAAGCAGGCTTCTAATTCAGACCTTTACAGAAGGAGCTGCTAAAACTGTATGCAGAATAAATCATGTATAAACAACAGATAATGTACGCCTGCTTCAAGCTTTATAAGCCTGGGTTTAAGCAACAACCGGCATCAAATGCACTCCATAGGCTCAGACACATACAGCTTAAGAACTGTGCATGTTGCAATAAGCTCTCCTACTGTTCTAATAGAGGAAAATCAGGTGTGAAAAAAAACTCACACCCCTGTCAGTATCTTCATCTCTACACGTGGTGGTTATTTTTCCAGGTTTTACAACACTACAAACTTTATGACATGACAATATCACTCGTCATGCTGCTTTGTACATAGGCCATACCCCCATACCCCAACAAGAATAAATATAAATAAACACATACAGTAAAGAGTAACAAGAATGTTTTCTTTTCAGAGCAGCAGATGTTTAGGAGCTGGTTAGAGGAACACAGGTTTTGTTCCAGATGTCTCCTTGAGGTCCCCAGCCAGCACACAGACTTCTTAAATTCTAACACCAGAACACATTTTTAAATTAATGAAGCACTAATTAGCCAAACTAGGTATCGGACGATAGCTACAAATAATACTGGACTTCAGGAGCAGAAGTTGAAAAATTAATTACTGTATTAATCTTACTTAAATTTATTCTAATATCTGTGTTTTTTGTGCAGCCGCAGGAGGGATGGTAATGGGACACAGTCAGTAACTGTTTAAGCAATAGAAGACGAGAGGGAGTGTGTTATCGTGAAATAACATCACTGTGATTTGGTCGCCGTAGATCATCACAGCCGTGATGTTATTGGCGATAACACACTCCTCGAGTGTTCTATTGCTTTAATACAACAGTTAAATAAATAAAGTAATAAATTAATAAACTGGGCCGTGAACGTGACACTTAATATGTTTTAATGTTCGCAGTTCCTTCACCAAATTAGAGTTCCTTAACGAGCAGCTTGTTGCTACGTCAGAGTAACGAGCTCCGCCCACTCGCTGCACAGCCGGCAGTTCGTTCTCCAGCTCCTTACACTAAATTCCCAAACTGTCATCACCACTGAGCAGCTTTTCAGTCGGCAGCTGAGACAGAAGAACAGCTAAACAACCTGGAATCAGCCAGAAATGAACCCAACACCATTCACCAAACTAAATGGGCTGTAAGATGCTTTACAGACTGGCTGGAACAAAACAACATTAATACTGATCTGGCAAAAACTGGCAAAACTGAGCTGAACTTGATATTGCGGCGGTTTTAATGCTCAGTCTGATTTAGTCAGACTCTGAAGATCAGACTCCACGTTTGGCGAATGGTGTTGGGTTAATTTCTGGCTGATTCCAGGTTGTTCAGCTGTTCTTCTGTCTCAGCTGCCGACTGAAAAGCTGCTCAGTGGTGATGACAGTTTGGGAATTTAGTGTCGTCTCATCATCAGAGTCTGACCAAATCGGCTGTCGGTCAAATGTGATCTTAAAAGTGTCCGTTTTCTGTTTGTGGCAAAGTAAGAAGTAAAAACGTTCAATGTCTTGAGCGTCTCCTACAGCTGTCACAGTCTCAGCGGAGTGATACAGTGTTTGTGAAAAAACCTGTGATGTTATGGTGAAATAACAGCACAGTTAGAGACGCTTCTCAACAAATCAGCTTGCGTGGCCGAAACTAACTCTTGTATAAATACCAATAAAGCACATGCTAGGTGTTCCTGATAAAATGATCTATAATTGTAGCTACACGGTTCGTATACTGAATAAACTGGCAACTTTAAATGAATCTCATTTTTCTTTTATTGAAAATGCTCGATCTAGATCTTTATGAAGGACTGTATCGTACTCTGTAGTGCCAGGACTCAGAGTTTGTGTGCACTCGTCGAGGGGGAAACAGTGCACAGCACAGTTCTGCTCCAACACGACTGATTCACCGGGCATCATGATTTAGATGTACTGATTCAGGCCTGTGAACAAACAAAACATTGCGCACCACATGACTGAAATAAACAAAAACTGTGAGAGTTAACAAGACAGCTGTGAGAGGGACACTTGCCGCCAAGAATATTAATACGGTGCGGTGATATAATCCTCACTGACTGCTCGCTCTGAGCACTCAGGATGACAGGACACTGATTAATGCTTACTCAGCCCACAACACTAAATCCTGCAGGAGGTGAGAGGAAGAATTAAAACATTACCTTTTAAAGAAACTATCCAATCACTTTACTGTCGCCATTAAAAATCTTTGTTCCAAATCAAAGACAGAAAAATTCTCACTAAAATAAACTTTATCCTTTATTTTACGTTTGTCTGGATTATCTGAAAGGCGGCAATGGTTCATTCACTCCGCAACAACCAGGAACAGCACAATGTTTAATCGCTGCCCCAACACAGTGTCCACGACAGTAACTCTGCTACACTGTCTGCAGTAACAACACTCTGCATCACATCACTGTGGATGGGCGGAGCTCAGGGCTCAACGGCTGGTCATATTTAAATGTGAACATCACCATGAAAAGTTGTGAAACAGTGTTTATCAAACAGTTCATTCCCATTAATTATTTTATTTCTGTATTTGTACTTTGCAAAGATTACATTTAGACATACTAATGTGATGTTATATATATATATATATATATATATATATATATATATGTATAAATTAGCATTTTTTTTAAATCTTGCCTTAGGATGATGTTAGAATGAAATTTCCGATAGAGTCCGGCTACAGACATGCACTCTGTGCCACGATGGCAGAAGCAGCCCAACAGCACGGTAACATTTGGCTGCTTCTGCTTGGTGATATAATCACTTAATCCATTTTTCATCCATAACACAGATAGAAAATTCCATTTTATGTACCTCCCTGTTCAAAAAAGTCACAGAACCTATTAAAAGTGTCTGCTGGTGGTGTCCAGTAGTCACTATTGGTCTTCTGTGTTTTCCTGATGGGTTAATTTCACAGTGTAAAGGATTCAAATTATTTAATCAGGTGTTTTGGAACTGATTCCAGATACAATCGTTTCCGAGTGGTCCCTAACGGCAGGTTTAGGTTAGGCGGTTAGGTTTTACTCCTAACGGCTCTAACAGGCTTCAGCATAGTTTTCATTTAATTCTTCTGCTAATAAACCTGACATTAACGTCTTATCGTCTTGGTTTTATTTTGAAAATTTTCATGTTTAATTACCTTATTATCAGTATGACAACATTAACATACGTTCACTCATGTTTTTCTCCGTTTTTGCTCATAAAACCACTAAACCCTGTCGTGGCAGAGCAGCACTGACATCATCGATACGCTGGCGGCGCATGTCAGGCTGAGAGTGCATGTCGGCAGCCAGACCTTCTCAAACTTTCAGTGAGAAGACACTGAAACCCCCACTGACACCCTCCACAAAAATGGTTTTGCAGAACAGATTAGTGGAATCTTTTTGTTTTACAAAATCCAGCACAGCTCTAGTCATAAGCAGTAATTTAAGAAATTCTTCTGTGATATCCTTCAGAAAACAGTTAGGAACGAATGCAGAAACTAGGATGACCCAAGCTTTTCCGTGATACATGACAAGGTTGTGTGAAAAGGTGTAGAGCAGTGGTTTCCTATGCTGGTCCTGGAGGTCTGCCTTCCTGCAGGGTTTAGTTCCAACCTGTATTCAATAAGCTGCCCCGCCCCTTAATTAACTCTAATACATCTAATCCAGTCAATCAGAAACCTTACATTTTTACAATATATTATATTGAGTAAATAAACAGTAATGTTGCATTAAATGTGCAGAAGTGTGCTGGGATGAGTGAGGATGTGTCACAGAGAAAACTTGTTACAGACAGAACTTTATACAAAAACCTGAAAATTGATTGACAGCCTGCAGTCTTAAAGCAAAGGTCGTCGAACTCTGAAGAAAAACTAAGACGCTTTGTGATCAATTTTTTATTGCATTCAGTGCAGAAAAGGGTAGAACAAAAACAGGGCAGAGCTTGGCCGTGAGACACTTTCACTGATGCAGGTTTATCAGTACGTAAAAAGTGTTACTGGGAAACAAACACGCCCACCTGATGACTTCATATTATCCTAAATAACAAACATAAACGGCGCCCGAGCAGATCAGAGCACAAACACAAAACCCTAACACAAAGCAGCCAAAACACCTTTGCCCACTCCCTCAGGAGGCCATGACTCACCGCCATTCAAACAAGCCTTTCAAAGTCATTGTCTATAAGAAATCATCTCTCTGAAGGCCACATTCAAAAAGACCTG